CACATGCAACAGCTCGCTGCAATTTAACGTGACCTGCATGGGCATGCAGCAACCGTGTGCCAGTGAGTGCGGCATCGCGACCACCGTCGGCATTGTGGCGCGGTATTGCGTATGTTCCGACGGTCGGTGTCATGCTCTCCGGCGGTAAATAAGTAATTTTTGTCGTTGACGCCTTGTGTGCGAAAGCCTCCTTTATAATATATATATTATATAATATATATATATGATAATATGGCCAATATTTCTCGCTCTATGACTATAGAAATGCGCAGTATGCCGATGCACATAACTGCGAGCCTGTGGTTTGCGTGCAATTGACAAGACGCTGCAAAGATGAGCATGCAGATATTAATTTGCTTTTCCGTTGCGAGACGTTGACGGTGAAATTAGATTTCCTGTTTAAAAATTTTTTTTTGCCAAGCTAAATTAATATATATTATATATATATATATATAATATATTGTTTTTGTTGTTGTTAATCGATTTAAACAGTTTTTTTTTTTCAGACGGCCACAATGGCAGAACCCGAATTTTCGAACCAAGCCGGCCCCCCACCATGTCCCCGCCCGCCCCGATCCCCCACAGCCCTCTAAATTTCCTCCCCCAGGTATGTTCATACCCCCGCCGACCTTTCCGCCGGGAAAAAAAGACGCGTAATTTACATTTTTGTGTTTTTTAAAATTGTTTATTATAAATTTGGTGTTCACCGTCGCCCTGGTTTGTTCCGACGGAATTCCCTTGAGTCCCGATTCTTTGCCCTCCTTTTTCTTTGTTAATGAAAATAAATATAATGGCCGAAAGGTTTTGCCCCAACGCCAATGCGCCTTGTGAAACAAGTCCCCCCCCCCAAACAATATGAAAAATTTTTGGTAAAAAAGAATTGTCATTTGTAGTTTTTTTTTGCGCTTTACCGCTCCCCCCGCTTATGGTTAAAAGTGAAAATTGACGAGAGACGAAGAAAAGGGAAATAGAGAGGCAGAGGGGTTTTTATTTTTTATTGAATTTTACTCAATGCGCTTTTTTCCCCCCGCATTCGGTCGGCAGGTCCCCTGCCTGGCAAAACAAGCTTTGGTCCTTCCTACGACTCCCAAGGTTTTCCCAACCTCGGCCAAAAAAAAAGAGCAAAAGCAGAGGAAAACCCTAAGTGCCAATCTTCGTCCCCCCCCTCC